GGACTTTTCAATGACAGAAGACACACTCGCTGTAGCGAGGAACTACGGATCTCCTTTACCCCTCCCCCCCCCTCCCCCACTGCCTGCCCCCCCTCACCCCCCCGCTGCCCATCACAAAACTAATCAGGAGTGGGAGCAGTGACTCTGATTTCCTTGAGATACTTAAAATCATTTGTGATGAAACTGCAATGTGGTCGTTCCTGAACTCACAAAGCGCAACAATTAACCCATCGTTTCCAAAGCTCTGTGCTTCCTCACTCTCCGCTCCATGTTATTCACCCACCTCACAAGCTCCACAAAAGTGCACTGTCCCCCTTTCTAACCCCAGTTCGGAAATTCCCCGTCACCTCACCAACCTTCTGATGATGAGTGAGAAACACGGGCGCAACGATTGATTGTGCGACACACACACACCAGCTTCCCTGTGTGAACAAGACTGATTACAGGTACGAGTCGAGAATGTGAGAGACCAAGCAATATACTGTACAATCAACCTCCTGGTCAAAAAGCCCTAGAACTTTTATAGCTGGGATTTCGTGCCACTGAACACTGGACTGAGATCGGATATCAATCAAAATTAATTTAAAAATGACCATGAACAATAATAATAATCCTTGCATTTGATATAGTGCTTTTCATGTCTTCTAGACGTCCCAAAGCGCTTCACAGAATATACTGTAACGTGAACTGACTGTATATTTGTGGGCGAACGCGGCAGCCAATTGCGCACAGCAATGTCCCACAACAGTCATGGATTGAAAATGACCAATTTATTATTGTTTTGTTTTTTTGGAGGGATTAATATTATTATTACAATGTGAGGAAGGCAGATTTTTTGTAACATAATAAAACCTTTGCATTTTCCCCCTGTGTGCGCCCATGAAGAGCTGTGGAGGGCACTCATCCTTGCTCACCACTAAACACTTTCACCTGCTTTAACCACTGCACGATTAGTGAATGTGCCACAAGTTCCACAAGTAGCAGCCAGCAAAACAAAAAACCCAAGTCAAATCTCAAAGTGGATTAAACACACAGGTTAAATCAGATTTTCCCCTTGACGTAGCGGCAGGGCCTCTAAAAGCAGATGAGAGCTGTTTAAGCATTACCCTGGCACAGTCAGCTCACAGTCTCCCTTGCCAGTGAGATAATATGACCCCCAGAATGCATAAAGTCACCCGAAAAGCGAACAAAAGCGGCTCTCAAAAACACAGAACCCATCCATCGAAGCTAACGACTTGTTCATTATGAGTGATGATGGATAAAGACTTCTCATGCTGAGATGAAATCAAGATTTATATGCATTGCTTCCTCCTGCAACTTGTGGGAAGATCATCATCATTTAATTCTATCTCTGCGGCCGGTGATGGGCATCCAGAGAGCTGGTTATCAAACGGCGCAGTCAGCTGGCAAAATCGGAACGTGCAGTTGGCACATCTGGAGTGCCATGCCAACAGCTGAGGGTGAACAATGGGCCTTGGCGAGGGGCCAAATTGCTTGCAGACACAAGCAGGTTTGATCCACAACCAACCCAACCAGCTTGTTTTATGTGAATCAGATCTCAGCACATTAAATGCTCTCCTCCGCCANTTTTTTCTCTCCAGCTCGTATCGTTCCCGCGGAATATGGCCTTGAGACGGCTCACCCGTGTCCTCTCCCACTTTATCTGTTCGAACTTTTATTAAAACTACAGGCTTCATCCACAGATAGTTCATTAAATCTTTGACAGATTACTCTCCAGAAAAGACTCTTTAAAAAGAGGAATTGCTGGGAATCTATTCTTACAATCTCGTGGACAAAAAAATAAAAAGCTTTTAGCTGTAAGAATAATACTGTTCAGTCGTTAACACAGAGAAATTGATTACATCAGAGACAATTAACTAAAGTAACAATGGTTATGTTTGCTTAGAGCTCACAGGAACGGGTTATATGGAGGGGAGGGAGGTTTAATAGCTTTTTCCCCCATTTTTATTTTTATTAAAAACCGGGAATGTACTGCCTGAAAGGGTGGTGGAAGCAGTTTCAATAATAACTTTCAAAAGGGAATTAGACAGACACTTAAAAAGAACAGATGTGCAGGGCTATGGGGTCAGAGCGGGGCAGTGGGACTAGTTGGTAACTCTTTCAAAGGGCTGGCACAGGCACGATGGGCCGAATGGCCTCATTCTGCGCTGTACGATTCTATGATCCGGTAGAAGAAATACGGGATTTCAAAATGTAAGCTTTTGGGTGTTTTAAAACTTGGTTTAAGTGAGTTTACTCCCCAGAAAATCGTGACCATTTGTGCTTACAACAACAAGTTGAATTTACATAGCACCCTTCACGTGGGTAGCGTACAAACGCTTGAAATCTTACTGAAATCTCTTGATGCAGAGGTGAAATCTGCCACATGCAGCGTGACATCAGACTTTAGCTAAACAGGCCATCGATAACCATCACATCACACTTTGCAATTTTCACTATGCCGTCGGTATTTTCCACATGGATTCTGAGGAATCGAACAGACCGAAAACAAACATTGTACTGACACCGTCTCTTTGGTCGAAGCAACAAATGCTTGTAGAAGTGGCTTGGGGGGGGGATTGTTTCCAATTTAAACTGCATCCTACGATGTTCACATGTGAAGTTTAGGCAAGTTTCCTTACTCCACACGCCTCTTTTTACCTAGCAGTAAGCAGGAATACGATTGTTAGTTGATTGGTGGATCGCCTTTCCAGGAGTAATAATCCCTCAAAACAATTAATAATTTTTAAAAAATTAAAATTTGGGTCACTTCACTCCATTCCTGTTTGTGGAGATGCTGCTGTGCCCACAAAACACATTCAATTCACTTCACAGTATATTCTGTAAAGCGCTTTGAGACGTCTTGCAGACGTGATAAGGCGCTACATCAAATGCAAGGATTATTATTATTATCATGTGAAAATGTCAGGAATGTTTCATTTGACACTTTGCTGGGGTATCTTATTGAAGCCTATGACACAGTACCGCCATTAATAAAAAAGTACGTTCAGTGGAAATGCAAGCAGCTGTTTTTTTTTTGCACGATGGGAGAGTTTTACACAGCGAGCCCGACAAGCAACTTGAGGCACCACTGCTATTGTACTGCTCCGGTGCTGAAGGTGACGGCTGTTTGTGAAGTGAAGGTGACTGTTGTTGACAATGCGAGCGTTTAACCCTGGGAATTCACAATAAAAAAATCCAAGCACCATACAACTTCAGTAGCAAACAATTATTTACTGAGTTGTTTTTTTTTTTGGGGGGGGGGGGAGAGAGAGAGGAAGGAGAAAAAGAGTGACTTAAAAATTCCTATTTGAGAAAGGCACACAGAACGCTCGCTGAAGGAGGGAGCTCCCCATCTGGTGCATTAAGAAGTCAAGCCGACATGCTCCACAGCAGCAGCGGAGGAGTTCCCTGTGGGACACATCCACTGCCTGGGACCAGCAACAGTGCAGTCAGTCAGTCAGGGACCACCCCCCACCCCACAAAAAAAACCTCTTTAAAGTCTCTCTGACATTTGAAATAAGTTGCTGAATTGAAGACAAAAGCTCTTAAACTCTTCAAACAACCGACTGAAAATGTCCTTCTCTTGTCTCCCCCCACCCCCCCCCACACACACACAGAGCCCCGAGCCCCAAGCACAACGCTTTTACTGCAGTGACTGTGCAGAGAACATTCTCACCGTGCACCAAATCCTGCACAGAGTCAGCGACAGTCACCAGGAGGGGACTGGTGCTCACACACGACAGCCACTGCACTGTGATCTGTGTGAAAGAAGCTGCCAACCAGTGCTGCTGAGCAGATGTGGTGAGGGGAATCCCTTTGCTCTTCACTGCCCAGCCTGGCCACTCAGTTAAAGAGACTGCCCTCTGGGCTTCCCACAGAGTCTTCTTACGCATACAATAACAAACTAAACAGGATTGGGTATCGCGTGAGGGGGGCAGGCTGGTTATACAGAGGGTTTCGCTGGTTATAAAGATGTTATATAATCCTTGCATTTGATCTAGCGCCGTATCACGTCTTCAAGACCTCTCAAAGCGCTTCACAGAATATACTGTAAAGTTAATTGACTGTATATTTTGTGGGTGAAACGGGGCAGCTAATTGCGCACAGCAAAGAGTCGTGGATTGAGTAACCATTTTTTTTGAAGGAATTATTACCCCCGGAAAAGCGATCCATCAATTGTCTAACAACCAGATCCCTACTTACTGCTAGGTAAACAGAGGCATGTGTGTGGAGTAAGGAAACTTGCCCAACATTTCGGGAATCAAACCCAGGTCTCTCGCTTGTGAGGCGAGTGCTCTAACTACTGAGCTACAGGACTACACAAATGCTGGTGTCAGTGGACACCATGGTTTGTATTTTACTTCACACCAACTTTGGGGAATTGAGTCAATGCTGATCATTCACTTCCCAGACGACAAACTAATCACAGGTTTTGCTACAACTAGCTTTAACTTTGTGTGCAAGGTTAGTTACAGCTACTTACTTACTAACCAACTAATGATGTATTCTGGTCTTTTTTTTAAAAAAACGAGTTAAGATTGTTTAATTATTCCATTAAAAATATGTAAAATATAAATATATGTAACAGAGAGAGAGAGAGAGAGAGAGAGAGGGGATAGAGAGTAGAGGGAAGCGAGAGAGAGACTGAGTTGACAGACTGTTACTCTTGTTCTTGAAAGCTTTAAGGTTGACCCCAGGCTGGGGCCCAGCTGTGACAGAGTCTAGCCTGGCTATTCTCAATGCCAGATCATACTCTCCTACTCTGACTGTAGGTGCTTTATGTGACGTGGATGCATTACAAATGGGAAAAGAGTTATTTTAAACAAATTCAAAGTTTTCAGATCAAAATCTAACAGAAGAATGTCAACAACAAAAAAAGTGTTAAAAAGCTCAGTCACCCCGTCACATCACACACATCGTCTACTCAATGACAACATTGGCACTTGTTCAGCTCAGTCACTGAGAAATTATTGGCTAATTTCCTCTTTTTTTTTTACCTGCAGCCTTTTGTGATCCCTTTCGTCTCTTTAGAGCCTTCTGCAGAATTTCCTTCATGGTGACATTCATACTGTCAACCTGAATCAGGGAAAATCCACTCTGTGGCGCGTTTCTACAGCAAAAAGAGCAAAAGAGCAGTTATAGGCAATTCAGGAAAAGATTAAAAATTTTGAGCAATTATACAATTATCTTGAGATAATATTGACCACGCATACACACAAAGCACACACACAACTCACACACACAACACAACTCATACACAAAACAAATCTCACACACAAAACACACACAACTCACTCACACACAAAACACACCACAAAACATACACAAAGCAACTGACATAGACATAGACATAGATATACACACACACCAGTGCACAACACACAACCCCCCACACACACTTGCGCGTGTACAAAAGACAACCACCCCCCTCACTACCCCCACACATACACACATAAACTGTACAGAGGGTCTGTGAACATTGCAAAAAGACATTAAACATTTAACTCTTTTTGGATTATCAAAATTTTCAATTCACGATGTTGGCTGGTGCCAGTCATGTATGTTGAAGAACTATCATCTCTTGTGGCACTGTTTGTGCAGCCCTCAGCTTCTTTTTAGCATGGACCACACCCCCCCTCCCCACCCCCGGAATTTAAAAAGAACGAGAATACATGGCAAAGATTTGTCAGATCAACTGTTCAGCACCATTCAAGTATGTAACATGTCTCCGCTCTGCATTTGATTAGCGCTCACAATTCCTTCGTCAAACATTAAAATGTAGGCAGCTTTAACATAGAAACAGGAGGAGGCCATTCAGCCCCTTGAGCCTGTTCCGCCATTCTATAAGAACATGGCTGATCTGTACAATTAACCCTCTCTGATTCAGAGACTGATTTAAAGAAAAGCATTCACTCGACAAGGCAAACCTCAACTGCAAAAGCCTTGCAAGTCCATGATGTATGTATGTTAAACCAAACATTTTGGGGCAGATAAAGAAAGGCACACACGCTGTTCATTCGTCACCTAAGATTACCCTGAAGATTAGTCAGTAACGCCTTAAAACTCTGACCCCCTAAGAGATTGCAGAAGGATCACCAATGTTGCCCATCTGTGGCCCTGATCTGACCTCAGACATTGGCTGACTCTATGGCACAACTCCCACAGCATGAATAAGCTCCTCTGTGTCCTTTCGAAATTCATTTGTCAGTTAGACATGTTTTTCCTAAAGAAGCTTGAGGAGGAGGAGGAGGAGGAGGAGGACGGGGGGGGGTCATCATTCAATATTCTCAAAGAAATTTCGGTTAATTGTTCAGAAATGCCGAAATGACTTCTTCATACATGGAACAAAGAGTTCGTAGGGGATAAGAAAATTGTTGCCATATTGGAAGGGATTGTTAAGACATACTTAAGTTAATGTAGTTTCCCCCCACCCCTCCCCACACAAAAGCTCCTGAGGCACATTAATATTGAAACAAAATCTACATCTTTTGCAATGATTATATCAGCCATGTCGTACCTTTTTTTTGGGCCCGTAAATTTATACCTATAATAGTAAATTACACTATTCCTCTCCTGGCTTGCCTTCCCTTCGCAACCCACTGATGCTGGCCCCTCAACGGGAAACACTGATTTAGGACTATTTCACCAAAGTCATTTAGCTGCAGAATGAGATCAATGCTTAAAATCATAATATTAAGATAAATACAAAAGTATTTTGCTGCTGGAATAGGTGTGTGTTTATGCCGTGCATAATGGGGCAGTGTGTTTGCATCTAGCATCGCTTTGAACTCCAGGGTCAAGTATAGCGTTAAGTGGATGCAATTCAGAGCTCCTTCTGGACTGTGTTACAAATATGCCTCAACTCTCAACACTCGTGTCTCCTCTAAATCTAACCCTCTAAATCTACCTGCCCATTAGAAGACCCACAGAGACCCCCTCTCCCATTTATAATGTCGATATCAGTCTGGGAAAACCGATTGACATTTTCCTGAAAAACGTCACTGTTCACTTCAGATAAAAAATGGACAACAACAACAACAAGATTCCATTTATAGAGCGCCTTTCACGTCGGGAGGACGTCCCAAGGCGCTGTACAGTTGGGTCAGAGAGGTAGGAGGGAGCGAGGCCGTGAATGGCCTTGTAGGTGAGGATGAGGATCTTGAATTCGAGCCTCTGGGGGATGGGGAGCCAGTGGAGGCGAGCGAGGGCGAGGGTGGGAGTGATGTGGTCGGGTAGCCTGGTGCGGGACAGTACATGAGCTGCAGAGTTCTGAATGTCCTGCAGCTTGTGGAGGGAGGGCCGGGAAGGCCGGCGAGGAGAGAGTTCCCATAGTCCAGCCTTGAGGTGATAAAGGCGTGGACCAGAGTTTCAGCCGCGTGAGGGGTGAGGTAGTGCGATATTCCGGAGGTGATGGAAGGCGGTGCCAGTTGTGGTGCGGATATGACGGAGAAAGGACAGCTCAGGATGAATGAACGTAACAATTTTTTCAGATTAACTCCCCCTTCCCTTTTTTGGGGGGGGGGGGGTCAGCCGGGTGACCAAAGATACCTATGTCTATCTGACACATACGGGAATCCATCACCGTGTGTAAGAGTCTCCAAACCAAGCTGAGATTTCCATGCATCCCACCTACACACGGAAATCCCAGAGAGGGAATGGAATGCACTCACTCTCCCTCTCTCTCCTCCTCTCCGGAGGGATGCATCCCGCTTACCTAATTCCAGAAAGAATTAGGCGCAGGTTTGCAAGAGCCAAGGCTTGTGGACCCCAGAGCGTTGGGATAACTGCTAGAGTCTAACCAGCTAAAACTGCATAGAACCCCCCCTAATGCAAACCATCCACAGCACATTTGATGGTAGCCTCCTCCTGCAAGATTAACAAAATTAGACAGTTGGCCTCATGGCCCTGGGTGAGAGCGGGAGAAATTGGTGAAACGTATACTCTGGTGCCCGTGAAGAGCAATACGATTTTTTTCTGATTTTACGGACATCAAATGGTGAACGATTTACTCACTGCTGCCTTGAGAGGTTAGTATAGATACGATTACAATCCAAAAGAATTTTATTTTAAGTGTAGTGTGTCATATGTACAGAGATCATGGCAAGCATTAAAATGCCTTCCATATGTAATAATTCAAAGGAGGGAAGAATGCTGAAACGTAAACAAATAAGCCGTGGTTATTTTAAGTCAAGTGTCATATAAACAGAATACAAAATGCGAACAGTGAAATATTTATTCCACTCATTAGGAAGATAGATCTTTCTACCAAGGTTTTCCTCATACTTGGAATAAATCATTTTCCGCTATTCCCCACTGCATGTCCTCACTCTGTCTTGCCCTTGAACCCATTCAACCCATATTTTGACTTGAGCTACTACAATTACTTTCAAACTCCAANTTTTTTTCTCCACGGATTGTAGACAAAACAGCTTTCTGGATGCAGGATTAGCATGTCGAATCTCTCAAGATTTTTTTGCTCTGGCATTTGTTTGACGTACGGTCGGTTACGGATTGAAGCCCAATTTGAAACTGGAACCACCTGAATTCAGTCAAACCAAAAGTCAAACTTATTGTACTCTCACAGTTACCGCCTGCAGGTAATGGGATAATCCTGCAGGTTCAATGTAATGGCGTTCCAGTGGCAATTTATATACTAACCCTACCCTCCCTGCTCTCCAGCTCTCCTGATCCCAACCCCCAGCTCGGGTCCAAATCCCTGACTGTCCAGCGCCTTGGGACGTTCTCCTGACGTAAAAAGCTCTGTGTAAATGTCATTTCTTGTTGTTGTAGAATACAGTGTATTCATAGAACAGCTATGTAGGAAACTGCTGCTCTTTAGAATTCATTTTCTCCCAAATTTAATGCACGTTCCACGCCAGAGATGTATATTTTGCCCAAGCATTTATTCACTCAGAAGGGACAACAGCTTTGATTTGGATTCCCTAGAATTTGCCGATGTGACATTCAGTGCTGCATTGCCATGCATCTCTCTGAGCACCTTTAGACAGTTTGACATGATAAGTGCTGTCTTGTTTGTTCGTCACTTTCGGCGGGCTTTCCCAAATCGGCAACACCTTCAAAATGGAAGGATGGTCAGGCGGGCCGGGCTGTAAGCCTTCCTGCAGTATCTGAGCAACACACCATCAGCAGCTGAAAACCAACGGGAGGAACTCTGGATGAACAGCACAGTCACAACCGACTCACTGGGTCTTATCACAAGGATCAGCTCATCTTGCCAATCTGTTGGGCCAGTTTATTGTGGTCAAGCCCTTCCCACCAAGCAGCCGGCTGAGAACTGTCAAGATAATCATACGTTGCACTCTGTCACTGAGTGTATCCTGAACCACAGCCATCATTTACATCAAGTTCTGGATCGGATCCCAGACCGCTCATTGCAGATTGTTTTGGAGCCAAACCACCGTCAGCACTTCCCGTCACTGCGATCCCCCTCACAGCGATGCCCACCACAGCGATCCCCCTCACAGCGATGCCCGCCACAGCGATGCCCCTCACAGCGATGCCCACCAGACGATGCCCCTCACAGCGATGCCCCTCACAGCGATGCCTGCTGCACAGATCCACTGGCACCTCGTCTTCCTTTCCCAAATGCAAACTTAAATATCACTACACATAAACTTTTCTGCCCATTTAGCTTTTAAGATTCTTATGAATTGACAAGATGCTCTAGAGCCCTTTATCATCACCACATTCAACCCTACAGTGCGACAGGAGTGTCCAGAGAACTGCACGTTTCATAGGAACGTAGGAACAGGAGGAGGTTAGTCAGCCCCTTGAGCCTGTTCTGCCATTCTGTTAGATCATGGCTGATCTGTACCTCAACTACAATTTCTACACTGATGCAAAGGAGAGCGAGGGTTCAGTCATTTTAGTTGCCGGTTAAGTGTTAAACCCACATGGTTCACAAATGGACAGAGATGGCCAATTGTAAGTAGGAAACACACGACGAGGCTTACTGCACCGTTTGTGATGGAGCAACACAAAACTCAGGACATAACCCACTTCATACAGCCTTAAATCAATGTTTAGTATCGTGGTTGACAATTATAAACTGTCTGATTCTGGATGCTATATATTATATTATTCAGATTA